GGCAGCGGCCGCGGAGAGCGCGCGGAGCCCGGCGCCCGCCGCCAACTTTTGACTTTAGGAGTCGCTGAGGTCTCGCGGCGAGGGTCCCGTCTGCGCTCGGCTGAGCAACGCCGCCGCCTGCCGAGAGCTGAGCCGCTCGGGCCGCAGGAGGAGCGGGAGGAGCAGGAGGAGGAGGAGGACTGGGGCTCGGCTGCTCGGCCGCATAATGTCCAGGGAGCGGGCAGGAGAAGGCGCCGAACGTGCGCTCCGAGGCGCGCCGGGCGCCCTGTGCTGGCGGGGATAGCGGAGCGGCTTCTTGAATGGGGGTCTGGGGGGGCGGAGGCGGGGGGGCCGCGGGTCCTCCGCTGCTCAAATACCCCCGGTGCCCGCCTCTAGGAGGAGAGGGGAGGAGAAAACGGAGCGAGCGGGGACCGCCTCCTTCCAGACCGTGTCCCCTCCTCGGCCGGCCCGTGCGGGACTCCCAGACGGCCTCTGCCTGCAAGAGGCGGAGGCCAGAGGCGCTGGGAGCGCCCGGGCAGCCTATCGCCGTGCCGCCACCTCTCGGGGATGGGCTTTTCTGAGATTCCCTGCGGTGGGGTGAGGGAGTAGGGAAAGTTCTCTCCCCTTCCTAGCGCTCGCAGTCTCTTTCTCTCGTCTCCTCGCGCCTTTCTCCCCTCCGAATCTACCTTCTCTTCCTCGCCCTCTCTCTGCCCCGCTTTCCCCTCTTGTGATTTCTTCACCCCCTTCCACTGTGCCCCTCTCTAGTTCCTGCATCTCTCCCTTTGCCTTCCCCTCTCTCTCTCTTCTGTCCCCATCTCTCCCTCTTTTCTCTTTGCCCCTCTATGTATTTCCGCCCCTGACTGTCCCCTTCTTTTGATTTCTTATAACTGAAAGTGGCCCAGCGCAGGAGCGCCTTTTCCCTTCCTACAGTTCGTCACTAGGGATCAGATTTGGCATCCGAGCTCTGCCCTCGGTTTAATCGCCCTAAGCCTAGTTTTAGAGATGGGGTTCTTAATCTTGTGTTTTGGGATGTGTTTCAAATCCACATTCTCCTCAAAGTTTCGCAGAGCTTTAAAACTGTGCTTTCCCCAGCCTCCGTCCGCATACAGAGGGGGTCCATAGCTTTCTGTAGGTCTCCGGCCCAAAAAAGGTTAAGAACCGCTCTGGGCAGCGAGAGGGGGCGGAGACTTCGGAGCCCCCGAGGGGCTCCGGGTTTAGAGATATCGGGGTGGGAGGGGGGTGCGGCGGAGTGCTAGGGGAGTGTTGGACTCCGAGGGGAAGCACCAGTGCCGGGAGGGATTTCTCAATCACTTCCGCTTGCTTTTCGCCAGGCAGATGCTTGGAGCAGCTCAAAGCTGACACTTCAAGCTATACGTACCTCTGCTTTGGGATACAAATGTGGAAGTCAGAAATTATGCTGGAAGGGGTGTGTGTGTGTGTGTGTGTGTGTGTGTGATGTGTGTGTGTCGGAGAGAGGTGTGTGTGTGTGTCAGAGATATGTGTGTGTGTCAGAGAGAGAGAGGTGTGTGTGTGTGTGTGTGTGTGTGTGTGTCAGAGAGATAAAAGAGGTGCTTAATTCTGGATGTTTCAAACACTTTTTGTAAAAAGTATGTCTAATGAATATTTGTCCAAGAGCCCCAGTACAGTTTTCTGTTGCTGGCTGGCACCCAGGGTTGAAAATAAGACTGGCAACACCTGGGACCAAATAACAGCATTCTGTGTGTCCACTATTCTGGAATCACTAATGCATATATTTCTCCTGGTAGAGGGAAAAATGACTTGACAAGACTGGAATTTCCTAAAGAAGTTGTTAATCCAAATAGACCAATGCTGTGATTAACTGTAGGACTGGAATTTATGATGGGTATGCAAGGTATAAAGACAGTAACATAGGAACACCTGTCAAGTGCCCAATCAGGTTTTTAAAGGATAACATTTAATGCTTTTTCTTAAACCTTCAACATAATTCACTAAAAGACGTATCTTCTAATACACAATCTTTCTTTCTATTATGTAATAAAAATTCCTCACAAAAATAATAAATAAAAAAATCCTCACAGTGTCTGAGATTTGCTGAGAGTATAGCTAGGAATAAAAAAATAATAAGAAATCAAATTACTAGCTGATTCTGATGGAAAATATTCTAGGACTTCAACTAAAAATTGCTCAAAAATGTAGGACGTTTCAATATTTCGTATTAAACAATCCTCTTTTTCAATTTAAATTCCTCCTGATAGAGAATCTAACAGTATAGAAATCATTATATATCAGGATACAAATTTCCTTTGTGCACCTTTCTCCTTAGCTTGCTTTCTAGGACTTGGCATTAAAGGATGAACTTTGTTTACTCTTTCTGAAGACTGCTATGGAAACAAACAATCATTTCCACAACTGATAGGGACAACAAATGCAAAGTATCCCTTGCAATCTCCTGAGATGACCAAGAGCCTGGATTTCTGAACTTCTCATCCTCAGTGAGTTCAGTCATCCCTTCTTACGGGTTATTAGCTTAGCTCTGAATTTACATCTGTAAACAAGTCTCACAAAACCTTAGGGAGATGCCTGAAATCATAAGAAATGAATAGGACAATTGAGCTAGCTAACTAAATAATTCATGTGAAAATCTTTTGTCTGAATAATAATAATGATAATAATCACTGAGTATGTACCATTTATCACCCATGTGCATTTAATACAGCATTTAATGTAATTCGTCCAGCATCCCTATGAGGCAGGTAGTATTAGTAATTTCATTTTACAGACCAGGACACCGAGGTCTAAAGAGGTAAAATAACTTGATAAGGGTCCCACAACTAGTAAGTGAGAGACATAATTCAAATTCTGTTTCAGTAGTTTAGTCCAAATTTATAATTATCATATATACTGAATACATGATTCATCAGAAATGTTGCTAGATTTTGCGGAGGGGTTGGTTTGGATGAGAGTGGCTAAAATCGTCCAGAGAGTGGCCTTGACTGTCTTTTCTATGTATAGTTTTTCTTTGTCTCACTAACTCTTTTGTACTGTTCATTATTTCATGATAATCATCTTAACTATTTTATTGATATTTCACATTTCCCTCAGCATCTAATATAGGTCTGGCACATAGTAGGAGCTCAGGAAGTATTTATGGGATGAATGAATATATATAAACCTTCTATTTTGTTTCAGTTGTGCTAAAATGACTTCTTTAACATATTTATAATAATACAATTATATTAAGGTAGATATATAGTCATATATAAATAAATAATATAATTAATAAATGAGAAATAAATTTATACTTCATATCCCTTTAAGGAATACCTGCCACCAGATTTTAGGCCAGAAAGTCACTGGAATAACTATTTAGAGAAGAATCACAACTACATGATTTTTTAGATTTTTTGGTACACACATTAAGAATTATGTACAAATTAAAATGTATGTGTGCCAATCAATAAAGTGTAAGTTATGAAAGAAAAAAATACATATGCAGTTTGGAACAAGAATGTAACATTACCTGAGTGCAGGAGGGAAGAGTGGATTCTGTCATAACTGACTCCTCCCAAGAGTTTCCTCTGAAAGCACAGCTTGCTGAGGTCACCTGGAGTTAATGGATGGCAGGTTTTAGCCCATCTTCTTCTCCCAGGCTTTACTGGAATTGAATGTTATTGTAGGTTAAATGGGAGGCTTCTTTAGCTGCTTCTTCATGAAAATTGGATCCTAGAGGAGTGATGATTGGGATTAGTCACAAGGGAGAGATAGTCTGGTCAATGGAAATGCGAAAGATGACATCACAAATGACTTTGCAGAACACCGGTGAAAACAGCAGGAAGGAGATTGGAAGCAAAGCTATCCATTTCCACAGAAAGGGAAAATCCACACCCAAATGTTAGGGAGAGACCAGGAGCCAGAATTAAAGTGAATGGCTTCCTGAGTGGTCAGCAGTAAGCACTTTCAGGAACAGATAAGCCCATGGTACTGGGTAGCATAGGATTCTGGCAAATGACGCACAAAGCATGTGATGTCCTGACTCTGCGGCCTTGAGCAGCGCCCTCTCTGATCCAGTTTTATGTTTGCAGAGTGGAGGTGGGGAGAAACTGTGTCATCTGTACGTGCCACAGATGAAATGAGCTTAGTAGATTATTTAAAGTCTTCTGAATACTGACTTCAACCTAGCATAACAGAGAGAAGGGAGTTTCTATTGTTAATACTAAGATTCTTTTCATTAAGTTCCTACTTTGTGTTAATGATTGGCAGTCCTGCCATCTGGGTTCTACTCTTCCCATTTTACAGATGATGAAAATTAGATTCAGCAAAGTTACATCACCTGCCCAGCATTACAGAGCTGCGATGTGCTGAGTTGGGATCCAAACAGGACTCAGTTTACCTCCAAAACTTGTGATCTCCGTTATTCAGAGCAGCCTAAGGAAGAGAAAGAAAGACATTCACCTAATTGTTCTTGATCATTCAGTCTTTATACGTGGCCTGAT